TCTCATCTCTCTCATCTCATCTGCTCTCTTATCTCATCTCTCTCTCAACTCATCTCCAGCTCATCCTCTCTCTCATCCTCATCTCCTCCTTCTCATCCTCCTCTCAACTCATCCTCCAGCTCATCCTCCTCATCTCATCTCCTCCTCATCTCATCCTGCTCTCCTTTATCTCATCCTCCTCTCCTCAACTCATCCTCCAGCTCATCTCCTCCTCTCCTCATCCTCCTCCTCTCCTCAACTCATCCTCCTCATCTCCATCTCATTCTCCTCCTCATCTCATCCTTCTCTCCTGAACTCATCCTCCAGCTCATCCTGGAGGGGAGGGGATGAGGACTCCTCCTCTCTTCATCCTCATCTCTTCTCCATCTCATCCTCCTCCTCATCTCCTCCTCTCCATCTCATCCTGCTCTCCTTTATCTCATCCTCCTCTTCTCAACTTATCCTCCAGCTCATCCTCATCTCCTCAACTCATCCTCCTCATCTCCTCCTCTCTTCATCCTCCTCAACTCATCCTCCTCATCTCATCCTCATCTTTCCATCTCATCCTCCTTGATTGTGGCTTTTTTGGCTAAAAAAAACAAATAAACCCAACAACCACATTGCCCCCCGTCCCCCCCTCCTCTTTTCCCAATTGCCCCACTAATTACGCTCCTCATCCATTAGGCGTCTTTAATGAGTTGCTTCCAGTCAAGAGGCGCGGTGCTGTCTCTCACTCAGCAGAGGATACCGGAGGGCAGGTGGGGGGGCACCAACCCCCCCCCACAAGGGAAGAGCATATAAAAGAGTGGAAAAGAGGCCGCTGAAGGAGGACCATCGATACAAAGGAGGTCGTAGATTGCGATGGAGCTCGAGGAAGAAAGGCCAGAAACAAAAGGGAGCCAAACATTGTCCGAGTCCTTCTGTCCCTCAGTCACAAAGGCTGCAGGGGACACACTTGTGGATACGAGGTGGAGGGGGGGGCACAAAGGGAACTCCTTCACACAAACACACTCTTAACCCTCCCCTCTTTCCCAGCACCTCCTCCTTGCCGGTCAGCGAGCTTCACCACGCGGCTCTCAATGACTGTTTTTTCTACAGCAGGTCAGAGGTCGCCGGACACCTGGACCCTAAAATTTATTCAAGAATGGGACCTCCAACCTTAGCCCCCCCCCCCCCCCCCGGGGCCTTCCGGGGGGGCCCGTTGGGGGGTCTTCCCACAGTCGTGCTCACTAAACGAAGGGAAGCTCAAAGCTCCAAATGACGGACTCGTACTGTCGCAAACCGTAAAACAGCGCAGCCGTCCTGTGATTGTACTTTTACAACGTTAATGTAAAAATGATTTATGCGTCTCCAGTGCCCCCCCCCTCTCCTCATGCCACGCCCCCTTCTCGTGGATCTGGGCCTCCTGTGTGGCGGCACTGCTGAACTGGTCACACCTTTCTTGGTAATCGTGCGGGTCGATTTGTGATCATTGACCAATTAAAAACCATTTATTTTACTGTTTTTGAATTATCACCCAGGATTAGCCTAGTTTAGCCTAGCTTAGCCTATTTTAGCCCAAACACTGGAAGCAGGGGGAACTGCTAGCCTAGCTTCATAGAAAGAGAAACAAATTCACATTTCAGAGACCTGTAAATTCTTTGATTTGACCTTTTTATTATTATTTTGTTTTCACTGCATATTTTATTGGGATTTTTCATCAATATATATATTTTTTTTTAAACGGATTTATTAAGCAATGCAGAAGATGACTTCCTGATTGTTGAACTTAATGTAACTTGTTAATTGATTTCACAGTTTTATTTGAGTTATGATCACGTGGTACAATGATTATGTAATTTGTGTAATAAGTGTTCTAAGGACATATATTCTTAAAGGACTTTTTATTTTTTATGATCCTATTAGTAAAAAAAAACAATGGGTTCATTTAAATAAAAGAATTATGTCTCATTCACATCACATGATCTTCATCTGTGAACATGTATGACACACCTGAACTTTATAATAATTACTTTTGTTCAATGCCGACTAATCATAAAACGAAATAAAGTGTTTTAACATTGAAACAGTTCAATAAAAATACTTCAAGAACATCTTGTTTTAATATCTATTTCCTTTAAACGAATGATTAAAAGCTTTCTACTTTTTAAATGAATTTCGTTTGTGTGAGTTTATATTAAATGAATACCATCATCACCTCCGACTGTGTGTGTGTGTGTGTGTGTGTGTGTGTGTGTGTGTGTGTGTATGTGTGTGTGTGTGTGTGTGTGTGTGTGTGTAACATTACAGTGTCTGTAGGTTAAACAGGGTTTCGATTGTAATTGGAAATGACGAAAAAACAAAAAAAGAGAAATAGAATGAGACCGTTGTGTCTTTAAAAGGGTTGTTGGGCCTCTCTGTGTCTCTGTGTCTCTCTGTGTCTCGGGGCAGATCTATTACTTCTCTTCTGCCACAAGGGCCATGTATCATCACCACCCCCCCCCCCCCTCCCCGCGGTGTGGTTGCGTGCGCGTGCCCGTGTGAATGTGTGTGCGTGTCTTATTCAGGTCTCAGTACCAAGAGCGGACCGTCCTCACTGCGTGTCCTCCGGGCGAGTGACACGGACGCACCGGGGCTCGTTGTCGGAGGAGCCCCAGAAAAAAGCCCCCCCAAGATCGGCCAGTGAGAGAGAGGTCGGGAAGAGGGAGGGAGGAGGGAGGGAGGAGAGGACCGGGAGCGGACAGAAGGGGACCGGCGGCGGCGGTTGTGACGCCCCCCCCCCCCCCCCCCCCCCCTCCAAATCCCCCCCGGCGACCATCCAGGAGGGCGGAGAGAGAAGCGTCCAGCCTGCGCTCCATCACCACCGTCTTCCCGCAGGAGGAGCACGAACTGCTGTTGGAACTACGCGCGAGGAGCAGTGCACACCACGCGACCTGCCCCCCCCAACACACACACACACACACCACACACACGCGCGCGCGCGCCTTCTTCTTCGTGCAGCAGAAAGGAGCTTGCAGACGGTATTTGAACCTTCTTTCTTATTTTTCACAAGAGGAAGAGAGATGCGTCCTAACGTGGCGAAGAGGAGGAGAGCAGCTGCTCTGATTCCCGGGGTCCCTCGTTTCATTTTTCAAAAGTTGTGTCCTCAGATTGTGTTTTTCCTGTTGGGACTCTTCCCGATGAAGAGAAGGCTCATTAGTTGGGACTCTTCCTGATGAAGAGGAGGCTCATTAGTTGGGACTCTTCCCGGTGAAGAGGAGGCTCATTAGCGGCTGTGATTGCATAATAAGGCCTCTGAAGCGGGAGGAGACTGTGTATGTATGCATGGCTATAGGTGTGGATCTGTAGATGTATCTGTAGATACATGGAGATCTGTGGATCTGTAGATGTATCTGTAGATACATGGAGATCTGTGGATCTGTAGATGTCCAGGTCTTCTGAGCTCTAGCTGCTGATTGTCCAAACGCAATTCTTGTAAAATCTCAAATGCAAACCCGAGAATTGTGCCTGGACATCTGTCGCTGGTCGCTCCTCTTCCACCGGCAGCAACATGCACGTCAGTAAGTTCTTTTGAGCATCTTTTTTCTCTATTTCGGTGTTTTTATTGTGATCGCGGTGTGTTCGCGCTCCTTTGGCTGACGGCCATCGGGATGCGACCCGGGGACAGAAGAGTGTCCTCAAGCAGAGACAACTTGTTGGAGTGAGACTAATATTCACTCTTTTCCTGCAGGTTTATTTCGCTCCACTGGGGAGCTTTTGTTGCCGCCTTTTGTTGGCGTTTTGGGGGATTATAATTAGCATAATTCTCCAGGAATGTATCATTTTAATTTTGTTTAACAAACCGTGACCTTTTTTCAAGCCTCGTGACCCTTTGATAAAAAGAAGATGCCATTACAAGCCAATAAAGAGGAATTCGTTTGTGTTGTTTATACTGTTGGTGAATAATAAAGAATTAATCATCTTTGATCATCAGCTTTTATTTTATTTTTTATTTTTTTACGGTTAATTTTGTATTTGTTGTTCGGGTTGTTATCGTGCATGTGCATTTCTTGAAAGGTTGAGCAGGTTAAATGCTTGAAAATAACTAAATTATTGCATTTCTTTTTTTTTATAATTCTTTGTGGAAACATGCCGCATGTTTAGTATTTTTGGGAGTTTCAATCACGTGACCAAAAGATGCAGAAAATCGTATTTTCTCTGAAATTAACTGCTTTATCTGTTTTCAGAAAAATAAAATTCACTATATGACTGGAAAAAAACGACCTGATAATTAATTGTGATTGATATTTAAAATGTTCAAACCATATTTGTCATATTGAAATTCCGTGTTTTACATATTTCTTTTAGAATTAGTTTAAATATATTTGAAGTGAAACATTTTCCTGAAGATATTAGATGCTGTTTGGAGTCCTTGTGAAGCAGGAATCTGAAGGCTCGTCGGTAAACCGAACCCTCCCTTTGACTTCGGCCTCCCGCGCGCTCCACACAGGGGTCTGTTTGATTTTCACACCGCGGCCTCAGCCGGGCTCGGATGCTTCGGGGTCTTCTCGATTTGCTGCTGTGATCCGTCCTCCGCGCGACGCCCGAGGAGCGGCTCAGCGGGTTCAAGTAAAGAGGTTTTCTGTTGACGGAGTGCCAGTGAACGCACCACCACGAAGAGACGCGTCTGCGCTCACTGAACGAAATAATCCAGAACTCAAACGACGTCCCCAAAAATCTAAAATGTTGAACATTTGTTGAACATAACATTTTAAGACACAAATATAATTTCAAAGGTTTGATTTAAAGAATTATGGCAACATACAAATCAGAATACTCGGTTATTTTCTTATTATCTTATTAGAGGTTATCGCTTTTTTGGTCTTTGTAGAACATAAAAGTGAG